CTTCAAGAGATAAGGTGTGGAGGCCTTTTTGTCCACCTTGTTGGTGTAGGTGTTGCTTGCTTGTTTGCTTTATGTTTTTCTCTTTCTTCTTTCCTCCTCCCTTATTCTTCACCTTGCACTCATAGGACTTGTGGCCTTCCTTGTGGCATATGTAGCAAACCACAGTTTGTTCTTTATCAAGCTTCTTCACTTTCTTGACGGTGTTATCTTGATGAAGCTGGGCTTGCTCCGTCTTGCCTTTCACTTGAGTCAAGTCCTTGGTGAGGCGAGCCACTTCTTGCTTGAGTTGCTCATTCTCCATTGCGACCTCTTGTGTGCATGTTTCTACAACAACTTTCTCAACACAAACTTGGTTGCACAAGGATGAGTCTAAACATAAATCATTACAAGAAGTAGAGGCATCCTTTTTAGGCATGTTAAAAATTGTACCTTTCTTTTTATGTGCCTCGGTGGGGGTTGTACCGACGGCTTTAAGATTAGCAACTTTATTAGTTAGCTGATCACAATGTTTGCACATGGTTTTCATTTTAGCAAGCAAACTTTTATAATCATCTTGTGAGCTAGCTAACTTTTTCTTTAATTTTTCATTTTTCTTTACAAGTTGCTCATCATTGATTGTGCAATTATCTATGTTTGCACTAGTCTCAAGTTGCTCAATTTTAGTAGATAGCTCCATATTAAGATTGACAAAAGTTTCATATTATTCAAGCAAAGTAGCATAAGTTTGTTGTGAGCTATCCAGTTTTTCTTTTAATTTTTTAAGCTTCTTTTGTTGACTAGTGTAAACTTTAGCAAAGTTAAGATTTTGTTACATAATTTTATCATAAGAAGGTAGCTCATCATCACTATCACTATCATTGTCACTATCATTAGGGGTAGGCTTTTTGTTACCTCATGCCATAAGGCACACACGTGAAGTGCTTAATGATGAGTGCTTGTGCCCACGCCTATTGTGGTGGTCTTTTTCTTCACTTGAAGAATCGTCCCATGACTTTATTGATGTGAGGGCTTTGTCCTTGCATGCCTTCTTCTTTGTCTTGGATGTGGTCTTGTTTGGACAAACTTCCACAAAGTGCCCCAACTCACCGCATCCATGGCATCATTTCTTTCTTTGCTCATTTCTTTGATCGGTGAAGATGAAATCTTGAATTTGGATGGACACACCCTTGACATTGAATTTTTGGATCATCTTCTCCACCTTGTTGATAATCTTGATAGATTCTTCATCAAGGTCGGAGGTGGAGGAGCAAGATTGATCATCATCACTTGATTCTTCGTCGTCGTCATCCTCATCTTCTTCTTCATCTTCATTTGAGCAGTTTGAGCTTGAGCTTATCTCAACTTGCTTGCTCTTTATCTTCTTTTTCTCACTACATGTGAGAGCTTTGCCTTTGCTTGATGAAGAGGCTTCTTCTCGACCCTTCTTGTATGATATTTCAAATGCCGCTATCTTGCCAATGACTATGGCCGGGGTCATGATGCTCAAGTCCTCCATATTGTGAAGGATGGTGATGATGCTTGCATATTTCTTTTATGGTAGCATGGAGATGATCTTCCTCATGATGTTCGTATCATCTAGCTTTATTAATCCTATTGAATGGAGTTCATTGATAATTAGATTCAAACAAGAATACATATCACAAACAAGCTCATCATCATTTATTTTAAAGGAATCATAATTTTGTTTAGCTAGACAATGTTTTTGCTCATGGACATTAGTTGTGCCGTCATGGAACTCTTAGAGTTTTAACTAAATTTTATGTGTCGTATTTAAAGAGAACACTTGGTTAAACACATCCATGCTAAAAGATTCAAACAAGCAATTTTTAGCTCTAGCATTGAAATAATTTTTTTTTCTTCACTCTTTGTGGGTTTATCGGGATTCTTAATGGGTTTTATCCCATCCCGAGTGACTCTCCAAACACCCAAATCTACTGCCTCAAGGTGACAAGTCATTCTAGCATTATAATAGGGAAAGTTAGTGCCGTCAAAGTACGGAGGCCTAGAGGTATCCATCCCAACCACTCTAAATAGCGTCGGCTCAACGACGGTGAAGCCAAATGTCCAAATTGAGCCAACCGGCTCCGATACCAATTGAAGGGATCCGAGACGCCTAAGAGGGGGTGAATTAGGCAACTTAAAACTCTAACTCTAAACTATAGCCTCTTTTTCTATTTTTAGCAAAACATATGCAAAAGATAAACTATCTAAATATGCAACTATGGTTTTGCTAGTGTGTTGCTATCTCTAACGCAAAAGGAGTTATGCAAACAATATAAATGCGGAAGCTAAAGAATAAGGTAGAGATATGCAAACTCCTGTCGACGACTCCGGTATTTTTATCGAGGTATCGACAAGCGCATAAGCTTCCTCCTAGTCCTCGTTGAAGCCCCTCGCAAGGAATCCCTCGCAAGGGCCAAGCTCCCGGTCGAATAACTCCGTGGATAGCCTCGGGTCTTCCCCACGTGCTAGTGGGTCTCCGACGTGCCTTCTGGCAAGCCTCTCCCGGATGATCTCTGCCGTCTTCACTATCAAGCTTCTGACCGAACCACCGCGGGCCTTATTCCCTTCGGTACACAGTGCCGGCCACACCATAAACGAGGTTGGTGTGATCTCGCAAGACTACAAGCCCGTCCGATGTACAACAATGGTGTGCGCAAGAACCGAGTGATAAGAGATGTGCAAACCTCACTAAACACTAGGCCTAAACATAGAGCAAGCGCATAAGCGGTGGTCTAATCAACCTAAGCACTTCGCAAAGCACTTACGCTAATCACCTAATGAATCACTAAGCACTATGCAAGTGGAGATCACTAAAATGGTGTATCAACACCCTTGTTATGTTTCCTCAGCTCTTCACCCTTCAAATAGCCGGTTGGGGGTCTATTTATAAGTCCCATAGAGAAAGTAGTCATTGGGGACGAAACCTAGCTTTCTGCTACTGACCGGACGCTGCTGTCGTCCTAACCGGACGCGTCCGGTCATCCCGACCGTTGGAGCACGCGCGTTGATCGGACTCTAGGATGAGTTCGGTCATCATCGATCGAACGCGTCCGGTCGCGCTGGCATCACTCTAGAACCTCTCTGGACTCGATTGGACGTTGTACTTTGTGCGTCCGGTCGTCCAGTGCCACTGTGTCCGGTCATGCTGAAGACATTGCCGTGACGAAGAACAGTGTCATCGGTGCGTCCGATCACTACTTCGCTCAGCGTTCGGTCACAGCTGCTGACGTCTGCTGTTGCCGAGCAACTGATCGGACGCGTCCGGTCCCTATAAGGGCCACGTCCGGTGACCTCTGTCGAGATCGTTTCTTCGCGATCTTGCGTCTGGCTTGGTTCCTATCTTCGTGCTTGGACTATGCTTGATATCTTAGGTCTTCTATTGTGCTTCTAGGGTCTTACTTATGGTGTTGATCGTGGGATCATCATATCGCCTTCGTCCAAGTCACGTCTTACACCCTATTGAACTACAAAACAATTACTTGCAAATTCATTAGTCCAATTTAGTTGTGTTGGTTATCAGACACCAAAATCCAAAGTAAATGGGCCTAGAATCCATTTTCCTTACAGCAGTAGCATGCACTGTAGCAGCAACCATTTTGGCTATAAAAGGAGGGGTACCTTCATATGTAAGAGTTGGGTTTTGTTTTAGTTCAGTTTCTTTAGAAACTACTGCTTGTGTTGTCTCTTGTGTAGGTTAGACCAACAAACTAACCTCTACTCAATGCTCTATCTTAATATTTCGCTACATACTTGCAATTTTAGATTGCTTGCACCTTGTTCTTGCTGGTTTTCTTCTATTTCTTGTAGGAACAGAACCTAGTGGTCAGGTCAGCTTAGTTTTGGCTAGTCTGATAACATCTCAAGAGTTGGTTAGCGGTTGCTAGGCTATTGGAACCTCTTGGTTAGTAGGCTGAAACGTATGAGTCACCCTCACAATTGGAAGGCATCTCATCTGACCGAAAGGTTGGGCCTCTAAAATTCCACATCATATGCCCTACCCTACTTCTACTTCTAAGCTAGAAATAAAACATGGTAAAAAGAAAAGAAATACAGCCACGATAATAGCCACTAATAAGTAATATATTTTGTGGGACAGTTGAAGCTTTGATTCCTTAGAACTTGTTAAAACCAATACAACACATAAGACTATTTGGCATACTCCGTATACTTCACGTGCAAAACATACAAAATAAGTTTGAATGCGGCACAATGCTTGCATGAGGCACCTTGTGTAGAAAAATTCCACCACACACACAAAAAAAACTGATTGTCTGACTCTGTACCATTGATCGCTTATGCATGGTAGTTAAAGTGGTGCCCTAACATAAAGTATATGGAAATTCTAGATCACAGTCATTGTTAATGAGAAGGCATAGACAAAAAAACAACTTCCTGAGTATATTAGGTATTGCAATGTGTAGATTCACTCGGTAAGATCCCTAACGCTATTGGCAGGGATGATTTGGTAGGCAATTGCACGATTCACAGCATCATAGTATCCAAGTCTTAAAATCTATTCTTGTGTTGCCCCCTACCCTTTTGAGCATATTTGGGAAGGTGAGCATGAATATACACTTGTGCTAGTACCACAACCAATGCTAATAACCAAGAGATGAAGAGAAGTGAGCAAAAGAAGTGAAAGAAAAAGATGAAACCAACCACCGTATCTTTACAACTAAAATATTCATAACTATTTCGTCCACAGGTGCGATACCAAAGCCGCTCTATGCGATTAGATCAGAAAGACAACGCGCACTCGCTTCATGCGATCAGCTCAATTCCCATAACAGACGCAGCAAATCAGAAAGACAAAAAAAAAAAATCAATTCCTGTGATCAGTTCCGCGATCACCCCACGCCGCCGATCACGCGAGACGTGCGAAAAAAATTAGCGATGGGAATCCTTCACCGACGTGCGAAAAATCGCACGCTCCTGCGCTCGTCGGGCGAGCTTTCGCTCGGCCGCGCATGCAGTGCACCGGCCCCCGGCCCCGCGCGATGCGCAATCACCGCAGCCGCGGAAGGAAAGGAATCACCGCACCCTCGCCTGCCCACATCTGCGCTCTCCCACGACGCGCAGTCACCGCAACCCACGCCGCCACACCCTCGCGCCTGCACCAGCACCTCGCCCCGCCCCTGTCCGACACCGCCGAGCACCCGTTGCAGATCCGTGAGAAGCCACGCCGGTAAGTCGCGTTGCATTGGATTTCTGATCCATTGTTTCGGTCGACAGTACTCCTCGCCCCGGGCTCAGCCACGCCGCCGCCTCCTCTCCGTCCCAGCCGCGCCGCCGCCCAAGCCTGTTCCGCTGCTGAGAAGGTGTTCGCGCCCGCACCGTCGGTGTTCGCGCCCGCGCCGTCGGCCTCGCCCCGCCGATCCACGGCCGACAGACCACCGAGAAGGAGGACTACAGAGAAGGCCCTCGTCGCACACGCCCATCGACCTCGCCGTTCGCGCCCGCGCTGTCGGTTGCCTCCCCAGCTTCCTTCACTAGGCCCTTCAAGATCTAACATCGGACGTGACCTCGCCGGCCATGGCGACCACCCTGCCAGATCCCTAGCAGACCCATCGTTTACAGCTTCCCCGTCGAAAAGGGCAATGGCGGCTCCTCCCCTTCGCTCCGCTGCAGTTCATTACCTACTCTAATAAATCACCAGAGTATAGGCAAAGGACAAACAAATTTCAGAGATGTTCCTAAATGCTGCAGGGACGAGTTTGTGAACTCCTCTTCAGGTTTAACGAAGAAGGTATGTGATTCTTCTGGTTCTTCAGTGTTCGTTGTTCTAATACATGTTGGCATGTCATGGTTTATAAGACTTAAAATTACCAATGTTGCGAAACAAAGCAATTATCAGATGTCCAATGTATGCACAGGGATTATATAAACATTAGGATATACCTTAAAAACACGCTCCCAAAATTGAAATGCACAAAGATTTTTCAATTTGTACACTGCCATGCTCATGACGCATGGCAAGAAGCAGATATGAGTAGCTGGGGAGCGGTCCGTATCACCAGCTAAAACTGTTCTAAAATTTCCTTGACAATATATATGTTTGAAACTTGGTCTTAAAACTGTATTCCATATCATTTCCTTGGGTGCCATGTGGCATTTTGTCTAACATCAGATTCAATAATTGTTTTTGTTCCCTTTCAGCTGAGCAAAAAAGAGGAGCATTTGATCCTGAAGGCACTGCTTCTCACAGTAGCATGAGATCAGTCAAGAGGTAATAGCTGAATCATGTCAAGATTTAATTATTACCTTGTTTTGGCTGCACTAAACTTTCAAAAGTAGAAGTAAAAGAAGAAAGAGTCATCAGTTCCAAATGGAAAAGATAATCAGGCCATTTTATTCTAGTACTGCCCTTTTTCATGACATTAAATGAGCCAGCATGTTGTTTAGGTTTTTAGATATCAACAAGACAACAACTTATTTATGTTTGTCATTTACAGACTACAGTGGGTTTTTTCCGAGACGATTTGGCAAGGAGCAGGACCTTTTGCCTAGCCTTTTCGTATCAAATCAATTATGCATCATTGTTAAAAAAAAGTTCAGTACTGCATCTTTGTTTCTGTTTCATATTTTGAGTTATCACTTATGTGGTCTGTAGACTCTCCATATATACTTTTGAAATAAGCACTAACCAAGGTAGGTTTCACCTATAAATCTATGCGTTGATTTCCAAAGTTCTGAACTACGTGATTTTAATGGCATGTAGTTGCATGTTTTTTGTCTAATCAAGAATAATACGGACCATCAGTCACTCTGTATCTATTAATTAATAGCTAAACATGGCTACTAACATAACACAATATATTCAGGAAACTGGCTTTTTTGTGACGTTTGTGACACTACAGCTCCTTGTGCTGTGATTGTGTTGCAAATTTGCAATGTACAATGCCCCCGTTTCTCCCAACTTTTGCTAAACCGTCTGCGTCCTCTCTTTCTTTCTTTTTTTTTTGCCAACAGAGATTGGGCTGGGCTAGATTGGATTTGGAGTCCTCTTCTCATTGCTTGGGATCATTATGCTGTTTGACAAGAGATTCCTGGCAATGGGTAGTAATAATGATCCACGCTCTTGATTGATTCTGACTTCAGTCTAGCCTCCTGATTACTGATTAGCACTGTTATTTGTCATGTTGTCAGATCTACTTTGTTTCTGGTGTCTTACTGACCATTGGGCTAAAGCAAGCTATGTAATTCTCCACCAAGCTGGCCTAAGAATCACAAGGTCCTGATATTATCCCTGTAAAACCCAAGCTGTTTCAGTTTCATTTATATTTCTAGCTAACAAATGAGCCTCATAAACTGTGCAGGGTTCAATCTATTTCGGGTTTGGCTTTTTCCTGGTCCTCATTGGATGGGCCTGCCTTAGGCATGATGGTGGACTCTTGCTTCATCATGCTCTTCAGGTTGGTAGTTTCTTTCCTGTTCTTAACGTTACTCATATGTTGAAATATGGTGAGAAAGTTACTTTTCCTCATTGTTATAACAACTGCAAAACATATTCAGCCTGATCGGCTGTGGTACAGGCAGTGCTGTAGCTGCCGCACAAGGTACCGAAACTATTACAGCCAATCCAAAACAACTGCAGCCCAAACAACAGTAAGAATCACACTTGATAAATGCTTCACTAGGAACACTGCTCCTGTTATCCTATCATGTGCCCTAATTTTTTCCCCACTGTTGTTTTTGGGATCTTCCTTATTTTCATTGTCAATGCCGTCGTCAGCGTCTGGCAGGAGAGCAATGCGAAGGTGCTCGAGGCGCTCAAGGAGATTCAGTCAGAGCACGCAACCATCAAGCGTGATGGGCAGTGGTCGCATGGCCACCCTGCTTGCGACCTCGTCCCTGGGGACATCATTGAGCTCTTGTACAACTGTGATTTGCGTTGATAAGACCAGAACCAGATGTTTGTAGTGAAGCTTGTGGCAATTGTGAGGTGGCCTGATACACTTTGAAGATTTAAGGTTGATGGAACCACTTATGATCCAACTGATGGGCAGGTACATAATTGGCCAAGCTTGAGCATGGATGAAAATCTCCACATGATTGCAAAGATCGATGTGGTTTGGAATGGTGCAAGCATTGCCCACTCTAAGCATCAGTATGTTTCTACTGGGTCACTGCGTCCTTTTCCATTAATCAAGGCATTTCAGCTCCTGTATGTTTGCTCTTTGAATAATCTTTGGCGTGTAGGTGTGCCATGGACAATATTTGCTCTGGAGCAGCTTTGTTTTCCACTGAATTTGTGCTTAGGAAACAAATACAGCACTGGAAGATTGATAAATTGCGTAGGTCATTTGTCATTTGATAAATTGCATAGGGATTTTCACTTCGGCTGCTAAAAACCTGAAAAACGTCTGATTCAGAATCAAACATCACTGCAGACCTTAGAAGTTCAGTGTGTCAGTGACATTGATACATGTGTAGGCAACTAGCCACAAACTGATGATGTCTTCTTTTTTTTATTATTATGTCTTATGTCTTTAATAGCTAAAGGGAGGATGAAAATATTTACTTGAATATACACATTGATGATGAAACTCACTGCAATTTGTGTGTAGATGATCAAAAGGAGCTCATTCTTTCTCCTTGTATGTTTGGTGTTTTCCTTAGATGTTACTGGTGATGCTTAGCACACTAAAGAGAACTACTTACTTTCATTTTCAATTCTCCAGTGAGAGCATTACTTATTGATTTTTTGGATGGTACAGTTTGTTAATTGCTTGTGTTGCCATTTGTTTTGGAACTGGGTCTTGTGGTCTGACAAGAAAATGGATTTGATTATTTTAAAAATGTGTAAATTATATTTGAAACATGATAGTACTTTCATTCTAAAATACTATGGAACATTATTATTTTCCTCACATGTTTACTTTTGTAAATAAAGGTGGTTTGTCTCTTCTGAGCTAGAAAGTTGTTTTCATATGTAGCTTATTTCCTTATAATGCAATCAAAGTATTATGATGCTGTTTTAGATATTTTATTAAATGTGGAGATTTGGTATATGCTCTGTCTATAGCAATCTGAAATACCATTACTCATGGTAATAGCTTAAAGATTGAATGTGTGTAATAACTAACTGTTAATTGTTGTTTTGCAGATACATTTCTTATACTGATCTTTGTAGTGGCAGTAGCTCACCTGCGATCTTTATTTTGAACTATGTACTTGAATTATGTGAATTTTTTGTTTCAGTATCCTTGTTACTTAAAATTGATGCTCATCTTTAAGCTATTGGCTCAAAACAACATTTTGCTAAGATAAAGTAGATTTTAGTGTCTGGTGACAAAACGTCAATTTCTTGATGCTCTTCATGTTGAAATTTCTTCAGCTCAAAATGTAAAATTGATGCTTATCTCATTATGGTTTTCATGTAACAGTGATGATTGGCTAAATAAAATGTTACTGAAATTATATCGTTTTTCTGGAACAATGAATTATCACAGTATTATTTTTGGCACTCCAAAGCGTATAGTCGACGGCTGTCGATCTGTGTGCGAGTGTCTGTTGATCACGATTGCGTTTGTCACTCTGGCACTGCACACGTTGAGATGGCCAGGTATCGTTTTGTTCCTGTTGCAACGCATGGGCATGATCTTAGTGTAATATATAATTACAAAAAGTAAAGAGGGCAGAGTTTGGCTAACCTTAGCACGCAAGTCCTTTGAATCAGTGGCAGGAGAGCTATCGTTGCTGATAGTGTTCAGCCCTCCAGTATTTCTAGGCTTCTAGTCTATCTGAATGGGGAAAAACATACTGCGTAACATACTTAGACATTAACTAGTATGATATCTTCTGTTTCAGATGTATGATTCCCAAGCACCCAGCCAGACCGAAGGCCACCCAGACTATCAATCAACACACGGATATACATGGCTACGGCAGTACGAAGTTTCACACGTCCAGCACTTCACCAGTAAGCAGTAACAGATTGAAATTTGAAATAGGCCATCTACTAAATTTGTAGCCGCACAGGCTCACAATGGCTACAACTGTAACTCGAAACCTTAGTTCAGTACATTTGTAGAGGAAAAGAAGAAGAAAAATTACACATGATCTCTCAAGTAAACTTCAGCAAGAGATGACTTGAAGGCCTTCCTCAGTACCCCTACAGGCTGTGTCATGCACCTTTACCTTCCCTCGGCTTTGATCAGCTGAGAGAAGACCCGGCTCATAGACACATCGGAGAGGTCATGATCAGGCTCGTTTGACACTCCAGCTTCTGCCATTGTCACGCTGATGCTCTCAAGGGCGCCAACGTTCTGAACCTGTGATGGGAGTTCCACAATACGGTTCATGCTGTTCACATCCGAGACTGTGGAATCAGCATCCTGAAGCTGCAGAACGTACTCCAGGTTCCAGAGGACATCTCCCATTGATGGCCGCTCCACACCATAGTCTGCCAGGCACTTCTCCACTGTTTCGCCAAACTTTCTCAGAGAGTCTGGCCTGATAGTGCCTGAGATTCTCTGATCAATGATCTGATGCAACTCTCCTCTCTTCTGCCACTTCATTCCCCACTCGGCCAGGTTCACCATCTCCCTAGGAAGTGTAGGGTCAATCACTGGCCTTGCACAAAGAACCTCAAGCAAAACAACACCAAAAGAGTAGACATCTGACTTCTCAGTCAGCTGCTGCCTCCGGAAATATTCAGGATCAAGATACCCAAAGCTGCCCTTCACTGCAGTGCTGACATGAGTTTGATCAAGCTCAGGCCCAGTCTTTGATAGCCCAAAGTCAGCAACCTTCGCAAGGAGGTTCTCATCAAGCAAGATGTTTGCAGACTTGACATCACGATGGATAATGGCCTTTGCAGATCCAGTGTGAAGATAGTGCAACCCCCTTGCAGCTCCAATGCAAACCTCCAGCCTCTGCTTCCAATTGAGTGAGGGGTTATCGGAGCCATAGAGATGGCTCTTGAGAGTGCCTTTCTCCATATACTCATAGACCAAGATCATTTCGTTCCTTTCATCACAGTACCCAATCAGAGACACCAAATGGCGGTGGCGTAGACGTGAGAGGAGCTCAATCTCTGTACGGAACTCGTTGAGACCTTGCTGAGACTTTGGGTTTCCACGCTTCACTGCAACCTTGGTCTCATCCCTCATCACTCCCTTGTAGACCTTTCCAAAGCCTCCAACTCCAATGACCCAGTTCTCATCAAAATTGTTTGTTGCTTCTTGGAGGACATTGAAGGCAAAGCGGTATCCATAGCTTCCATTCAGCCCTGATGTGAGAGTAGTACCATAAGACGTTCTGCTTCCTGTGCTGAGAGAGGTGAGGCCATTGATAGAGAAAGGCATCCAAGTCTTTGAATGCTGCTTTTCCAGAGTCTTTTTCCTCCGGCAAAGAAGCACAAGAACAACAACAATTATAAACAATCCAACACCTCCTAGGGCTGCACCAATAATCACACCCCAATTTTTGTTTCCACTGCCAGACCCAACAGTGAAAGCAGAACCTCCGGTACTTATCTTCATAACCTCAAGCCCATTCAGAATCCCGTCAGGCAATACATTGCTCAAGGTCGATGGGCCAATGCTGATGCCAAGTTTGCTGGATGCATCATTTGATGAGAGAACCACATCTATATAGATAGGTGTCGCCAACTGACTATCAGACATTGTTGACAGATCAAGATTACTCTGCGCAGAAAAGCCTCCGATATATGCATTGAAGTAGAGCTGGTTAAGTGCCTTACTGACAATATCACAGAAGTGAAACCTTACCAAATAGATGAAGCCAGCATCCACATCAAACTGCCATGTCATGTTGAAAACAGCATTTGATGTATTCGCTGCTGCCAACTCTCTAGCTGTACCATAGACAACATCAGGGGCTGTCAGCTGAGTTGCTCCACTCTTCTTATAGTTGACATCCTTGCCATAAGAAACATTTTTGGTCACAGTTGGGTTCAACAAGTACTTTCCATCAGTCACCCAGGTCCTCGAGAGGGTATCATTGTCAGGAGTGACCTTCGGACCACCCATGTTAACCCGATACACTGTCTCCAGTGGCTGTGCAGACAAACCAGTGTACTGCTGGACAGGGTTGACCATTTGTGCATTATCAGCGATGAGATCATCCGGGACAGAGACCACCTCAATCGCGTTGACAAATGCAATTCCATTCGACGGCTTGAAGGAAATCACGAGCGTGTCGCGGGTGATATTCAGGGAGTACTCCTTGAACAAGGGTGCAGTCTTGTCTGGTTGCTGGAAGTCACTAAGCAGGAGAACATCTTGGGTGGACACAGTAAATTTGGCAAGTGAAAGATCATAGCTCTGGTAGGTGAAGGGGAAGAAGTAGAAGCGGACGAAATGCCGGCCCTGCTTCTGGATAGGGAAAGTGTAGGACGACGGCCCGGTGAAGATACGGGCAGTCTGGTACAGCGCCAAGTTATCAAAAGAGGCCACCCCATTTGCTGAGGTGCCCGCAAGTATATCCTGGGAGGTGGACACCTTCACCGGAGATGCACCATCCGCTGCGAAGGTCCTCCGGCCAACCATTGTGCTCTTGGAGGACCCACAGTCAACAAGGTAGCTGTCCGCAGGCGTGAATTGCGCTTTGCAGATGCAAATGGATGACAAGATGCATAGCACGATGAAGGTTGTTACAGCTTGCCGCTTCTTCCTCCCCAAAGTGACCATCATGATGTTGACCTGAGTAAAAAGTATGTTCAGATGGCATGCATGCAAAACTGTAATCTCATCTCGAGAAAAAGGGGAAACAAAACAATCGGTACAGCAGTGAGCTACTACTAGGCAAGAACAAGAACATGCTGATTTGCTCATCACTTGGGGGCATGGATCTTAAAATAAATTCGGGACATTAAATTCGAAATGAATCCCCCAAAACTTCTGGAAAGCGAACCGTATCGGCAGCTCGG